AAAATCAAATCTGCAGGGGGAGTTGGTTTCCTCGCTGGGATACATCCCCATTCTTTATTCCTTCCAGAAAAAGTGCAGGAGGAGATTGGAAGAACTGTCAAAGCTGGAAGCTGGGCCACGTACGAGGACCGCAAGAACATGCCATTCACAAACGCGGTGATCCACGAAGTGCAGAGGTTCATCACCCTCCTGCCCCACGTTCCCCGCTGCACTGCTGTGGACACCCACTTCAGGGGATACTTCCTTCCCAAGGTGGGTACGGCCCAGCCCAGGGGCACAGCACACTCCTCTTGTTGCCAGTGGCACTACAGACAGCTTCTTTAGAGGGGCAGAAGCACAAAATAAACATCCAGAATTACCCCAGAAGAGTTCCTTCCTTTCCAGTGACTGTGCTGAGCCCAGAGAGACCAGTGCTATGGAACTCGATTCAGGCCCTCATGCTCAGCACTTCCACACTCCAAGAGTGACCCTGGTTTACCTCTGATGCCATCTGCCCAGTGAAGAATTTGCCAGGGAATGCTCAGGATCTGTCCCTCTGCCTGAGGTCCTCGCAGTGCCACGTGGCATTTGGCTTCAGTCCTTGGCACAGCTGGGAAAATCTCCCTGTTGGTGGAGGGGATAAAATCCTCAGGGTCTCCACCTGCTCCACTCAAAGCAAACCTCCCACAGTAACAAATCCATGTCACAGAATAAAGCAACACAGAGCAATAAATCCTGCCTTTCTGTCCAGCCAAAAATCTTATTGGCAAAGCAACATTTAGAGTTGGAGTGAGATGTTTTGGTAAACCCACTGTGGACAGGACTTCTCCATGAAGTTCCTCCTCATCCCCAGCCCCTTCCCCCACCCCTCACCCAGGACCCTTGGTGCTGCACCACGGGTGTCCCTGGGCTATGCTATTTCTTGTGTCTTCTCCCAGGGTATAATTGTCATCCCATCGCTCACCTCAGTGCTGCTGGATAAGACGCAGTGGGAGACACCACACCAGTTCAACCCCAACCACTTCCTTGATGCTGAAGGGAATTTTGTCAAGAGGGAGGCTTTCCTGCCCTTCTCCACAGGTACCCAAAGGCCTCGGCCACACCGAGGAGTCCTCATGGCTAATTACTGCCTCTCATTTGGATAATGAGCTCAAGGGCTGGCTTCCAAAGATCCAGCTGGGGAAAGGACCTTTCTAGGAAGAAGGACAGCCCTGTGGTTGGGGGGGGGGGGGTGGTAGGGCACTGGCAAAGCAACATTTAGAGTGAGACATTTTGGTAAACCCACTGTGGACAGGACTTCTCCAGTTTGATACTTCCATCAAGTAAGCACACTGCTTCCATCCGCAGGGCGAAGGAACTGCATTGGAGAAAGCCTCGCCAAGATGGAGCTGTTTGTCTTCTTTGTAGGGCTGCTGCAGACATTCACTTTCCGACCTCAGCAGGGAGTTTCAGAGGCTGACCTGGACCTGACTGTCCCCGAAACGACTTTTACATTAAGGCCTCGGCCTCAGGCGACCTGTGCCATCCTGCGGGAATAGCCAGGGCCTGCTGCGGCGCGGCCAGGCAGGGACACCACCAAGGCCCATCTTAGCTCTGCTAGGGCTCATCACCCCATCCCAACATGCCACACTCTGTCGTATTTCCCTCCCATTGTCTCTGTCCACTCCCAGTCCTACATCACCCCATAGGTCACTGACCTGCTCTTTGCTTCCTTGCTGTGGGGAATGCAGGCAATCAGTGAGAAAGCACAATCCTGGTGACCCTCCCAGAGAGGGACACTGAGCAGCTGCAGGACCACGGGGTGTGTGTCCATGAGATGTAGGTGTGACATCCACACTTCAACACCAAAGAAGTGAGGCTCACAATCCTAAAGAAATCTGCCCAAAATTCCCAATCAAGACACACCAACGTTCACTGGGAGCTGCAGATAGGTTGGTGCTATAGGTGCTGTAGGTGCTTCTTGAGCCAAGCTCTCTAATTAGCCAGAGCTTCCCGCAAAATCCCACTGGGGCAGACAGCCAAGTCAAGCACTGAGAGTGCAAAACAACCCATCCATGGGCTGCGGGGATGAAGTTCTTCCTCCTTGAAACACAGTCCTGAAAGACACTTTAAGGTCTGCAAACCTGTCTAGATAGCCAAGAGTTGCTGCCACCATGTTCAACGCTGCTCCACGGTCTGAATGGAAGAGGATCTACATTTATAAGTTTGCAGTTAATATTCACACCAGCAAGTGACCATAAAAGGCTAATGATACAGGAAAATAAACCAGACTCATTACTAGTTTTATGGATGTCTGTCTTTTCTGACCTGGTTAAAATAGGAGCAAATGCATTCCCTCTCTCAGGAACTCCTGGGCAATCAGTGCAGTTTGGAACAGTCTGGCCATTGGAACCAACCACACAATTTCTTTGCAAGTGGAGCCTTGTATGCATGCAAACACACATGCAAGGAGAATTGGGATCAGACCTGGTTGACATTATTTTCTTTTGCTCTGTCTGCTGCCCCAGTCCATAGCACTCTTATCAGCCATCATATTCTGCAATCTCAATCCAGTTGATGTATAGCTCAGGATGTTTGCCATCCAAATAGCTGCCTGTGAATCACTATTCTCCATATGCATTATCTTATCATGTACTTTATCACGTTGTTTATGTCTCTCCCTTCACGGGAACCCAATAAAGTTTTAATTCTCCCACGTTTTCATTACATCAGATATTTCTGCCACCAAACTTCGTATTTCACAGAAAAGCAAACGAGTCATGGAGTTGAACCTGAGCCCAGAGTGACAGTAACACAATTGGTTCAACTCGTACCCCATGGCTGAGAGGTTCTGCATGCCCTGATCCTACTGACAAATGGCTCAGCCGGAGAGGTTCCATATCAGCAGAGCAGTTTCCCGGTGCTCTGCTGTCCAAGGGACGATGGCCAGGTGCCAGAATAGCAGCAACCTGTGCAATGAGCATTGCCCCTCTATTTGCAGCCCCTTTGCACACTGGGCAGAGCAACAGCCATCATGCAGGTGATCTCTATTTCCCTTTTGCCACGAGATGGCACCACGATCCCTCCAAGTCACTGCCAGCCCTGCTGTCCTCACTGGGCCAGAAAGCCCTGTCAGCCACAACCAGGGCTCCGTACAGGGAACACCTCGCAGCTTTATGAGCCTCCAGTCCAACCGCACTCACCTGGGAGCGAGGCTGGGAGCAAAGAGATGAGCACTATTTATTTACCATTAACCTGGGAGAAGCAGGTGGTATGCAGGGAATGGGAGCTGCCTTCCTCCCATCCTACAGCAGACAGCCTCTTTCCATGGGGTTCACCTGTGCAAACTCTTTGTAGGGCATTGGCTCAGCCCACCCCCCATTGCAGACCTGTCAAATCCTTCTGGCCCCTACTCTGCATTTCAGACCAAGGGAAAAGTGAGCTGCTGGAAACGAGAGTTCTGTTGTCATCAGTGGTGAAGGGGTGTGATGAGATCCCTCAGAGCACAGGGAACCTAAAAAGTCATGGTTTGGTACTGGGGTTGAAAATCAGAAGACTGGAAAGCATAGGAAGGGCATCCACTGGAATGGTGCAGGTATCCGGGAGTGGTTCATGACTACAGGTACAGTAAGGAATGGGAGAAGAGCAGGGATGTGACAATGAGACAATCTGTATCTGATGTCGCTCTCCAAATGAAGAAACAACCCACCGATGAGAAACATTCTCTCAGAAGCTGAGAACTGGGAACATTTCCTTACACTGTGCATTTAATGTGTGAAGTAGTGATGGTTCTGTCACTCTCCATCATGTGTTGGGTGCTATTCCCAGCTCGCCTCAGCCCCAGCTCTCCTCTGCTTCGTACAAAACCATTTGCTCAACACGTATTTTAAGCACAGCGCCAGTACTTGAAAGGCTTTGAGTAAGAAGGCATTACTGCTAAATACTGCATAGTGAGATCTGGTTTCTCCTGCGTGCATCTGCTGGGCTCCGCAGCAGTTGAACAGCTACATGGGTTGTGGTGCACTATGAGGCTGTGGCTCACGGCGCAGCACAGCACAGGCACACTGCGGGGACGGCCGCATGGTGAACCCGGCCTCTGCTGTCATGTTCAGCTCTGATTCCTTCACCCCGGGTGGAGGCTTAAAGGTGAACTTCTGCATCAGGCCCGTGAAGAAGATGAAGAGCTCCACAGTGGCAAGGCTTTCTCCAATGCAGTTTCTCCGCCCTGCGATGCCAAGAGCACAGCGGTTTGTGGGCTGGCAGTTTCCTTGAGAAGTCTTCCCTACCACTCAGTGGCAACAGTGTGAGGGACAGAACAGGCTGCAGAAGTGCAGACATAGTGGGGTGATGATCAGCAGCCATTGCTACTGGTCTCCTATATGTACTTGAGCAGGGCTGCTTCACTCCAAGCCTGCAAGGCATTGGTTTGGGACAACCTAGAAACCATTCTTCCTAAAGGAGAGGGAAGGCAGAACTCCTGCTTGAGTTTTCTACATCCCAGAGGTGTCTTTAAACCCCAGGGCCCAGTGTGCCTCTCGTTGAGGACTGAATTTTGCAATTCACTGAAACCCAGAGTGAATGTTGCTACAGCATCCCCACTGCTGACCTGTGCTGCTCCTGCCAGAGCTCACAGCCCAACACCTGGCTGCACACTCAGCCCTGTGCCAGGCCAAACCCTTCTGTTACCTGTGGAGAAGGGCAGGAACGCTTTCTTCTTTACAAAGTTCCCATCTGCATCAAGGAAGTGGTTGGGATTGAATTCGTCTGGCGTCTCCCACTGTGTTTTATCCAGCAGCACCGAGGAGAGCAGAGGAATCACTGTTGTTCCCTACAACACAGCTGTGTTCAGCTTAAGGCCATCCAGGCATACAACCTTCAAGCAAACTTCCAGAGAATCAATTTCTAGGTTTGTACGTAATCAAATGATACTAGTTATCACATACTTCATTTGCTGGAATTACTGACTAACCTACGACTAAGTCACTTTGTGCTGTTACTGAGTTCTGAGCAGAAGCCCACGCTCCAAATCTCCTCTGGCATTTTGCCCCACGTGCCACCGCCTGCTCTTGGGCTGCAGAGCAGCACGTACCTTGGGTATGAAATAGCCTTTAAAATGGGTGTCAGCAGAGGTGCAGCGCGGAACGTGTGGCAGAAGGGTGACAAATCTCTGCACCTCGTGGATGACTGCGTTGGTGAAGGGCATGTTTTTCCGGTCCTCAAAGGTAGGCAGGCAGTCAGGGCCAAGAACGCGCTCAATCTCTGCATGCACCTTTTCTGTGGTCAAAGAGAAGGCATTGAGTGAGTTTCCCTCCACAGTAAAGCATCTCCAAACCCTGATCCATGGTGACTGCTGGCTGAGCCACCCCAGGATGCAGTGAAGATATGCAGCCCCTGGCAGTAGGTGTGAGAGCAAGCACTCAGCTCCCTCAGTCCTGAAGTGCAGCATACAAAGCTTGGACAGAGATGGACACATTGCAGGCACTCAATTTTAGATGCCCTGGAGAGAAGCTATGGGGCTTTTATAGGTGAGCAGCACTTATGAAGTCACTGCAGAGTGCTTTAATTCCCTACGTAAGAGAAGTGAGCCCACAAAGGTGTCTTACTTTGAATCTCAGGGTATTTCATCATCAGCAGGACGGCCCACTGCAGGGTGGTGGATGTTGTTTCAGTGCCAGCCATGAGCAAGTCAAGAGCAGAGGCCAACACATTTGCATCATGAAAAAGGGTGCTGCCTTTATTATCCTCCTGTAAGGAAATAAACAGAAAAGGGCAGTGCTATCAGCATGGGAAGACAGAACATTGCAGCCTCTGCACAAGAGGCCACATCAGTGATCACTGCAGTGCTGAAATACCTCTTGTTTGAAGACCAGTGCATCGATGTAGCTCATCAGGTTGTTTCCATTAATATTTGCTTTGCTTTCCTGGATATGTTTCTTTAGGATCACACACACCTCTTCTACTTTTTTCAGTATCATCTTGTGAGGTTTGAGAAGAAATCCAAGAAACGGGTAGAAATTAAATAGCTAAAAAAAGAGGAAAAATAACATCGGGGAAAAAAAGTTCTGTAAAAGACTGCAAAACTTAAGGATCATAAACGAGAAATCAGTTGGGTGAGGAACCAAATGACATGGTGTGAGAATCTCTCTTTCTGGCTAACTAAAAAAATGTAGTGTATAAAAATGTCTCCTACTAAAAATTCTTTACAGAAATGAATGGGAGCTATCAGACTTGTCTAGACACAGCCTATAAACATGAATTAAAAGAACACAATTAAGGGAAAGTGATAGTGAACTCATGAAACAATGAAATTACATTTTTAAAGAGGTAATAAAGCAAAAAGATAAAGCATGAAGCTCTAGCAAAGAAAACTCCAAATGTTTAGCAAGCCAAATACGTATCTTTTGAAGCTGTTAGAGCATCATCTTTAACTTTCACATGAATTATAAATCAATTACACTCAGCATGAGGGGTGACTTACGTGCAGGAAAGGGGAGCCAAGAAGGAGCATAACTTCATCAATGAGTCGTAGCAGAGTGACAAACGTTGGGTCTCCATAGTCAAACCTTCTCCCAAATAGTATAGCAAAGGTGATGTTAGTGGGGGCTGTGTTCAAAAGCCGAAGTCGGAACGGCCCACCTGGAAATGGCCCAAATCACCTGTATTTGTCTTCCAGAGCAACCCTGAGGTCTTTGCAGTAGCTCTGCAAAGTAATATAAAACACCCCAGCTCACCTTGGAAAGATTTGATCAGCTCAATGAGAAACTGCAGCTCCTCGAGCATCCTTTCTTCCGCAAGCCGCTTCCCCATGCCCAGATCCCGCATAGCTGCCAAGGTGAACCTCCGTGTTGTCTTCCAGAGCTCTTGGGAAGAGAAGAACACACCTACGGAGGGATGGCATGGCGTGGCTGCACAGCTGCTATGGGGTTTGCTCGGTACATAGGGGCTCTGTGATGTGCAGGGCTGGGTGCTGGGGGAGGGCTGCCCCGGGAGAGCCCAGCCCCAGGCAGGTTCCATAGGGCAGGAGGCAATCTACTGTTCACACCTCTGGGTTTTGCCTATTTATAGCTTTGTCCCTTCGCAGCCACACACAGCAAAAACTCTGTGTGGTACTTGTCTCAGGCTGACTTGTTTCCCTCCAGGAAAACAACGCAGCTGTTTGAGAGAGCAAGGCTAGGAGCAAATGACACTGCTCTGTCCGTGTCATGAACAGGACAAAAAATTTCCCTGTTGCATTTTAGAGGATGAACTTTCTTCTGTGCAAGGGGACAAGGAGGGGTGTCAGGGAGGTACCACAACTTACAGCTGGGAAATCTCCCCAGCTGGCCCTTAGATGATGCCAAAAGCTCTCCTGTTTGGCAGAGACCAGCACAGCAGGCAGCCCTGGTGCCACAGCAGTGCTCCCTGCCCAGCTGGCTCCTGGGCTGAGCACAGTCTACATCTCACACACTGTACCCCTCCTCACCCTGGGCCTCACTTTTAAAAACAAGATGAAAAAACCCCACACACTGTATGCATTATATACGTATTAGGTCATCAAATCTTTTCCTTTCAGCCCTGGATTATTTCCTTCACTGTTTTTCAATGTCTCGTCTTGGGCAATGTATTATTTCTTAGCATGCAATGCAGAAATATGCCAAAAATCTGTTTACAGAAGTAATTGTTTGAGGTACAAACAGCTCGTGCTATTGCACTCCTGCCAGTTCTTGCAGTCTTTATCATGAGTCATGCATGATCCAGGCTCTGTCTGAACTGCCAGTAACTGCAGAAGAGAGATTGCATAAGGACCTCAGCCTTCATGTGAAAAATAATTCCCTTCCTTCTGCACTGCAGCAGAACCCTGGAAATGTGACCCAAGTGCTGCAAAAAGCAAAAAAATGGATAAGGCAAATAGGAAGGTGCCTTCAGTAGAAAGCAAACTGCCCCAATCCCACCCAGTGTAGCCACCGATGGTCTCAAGACTCCTAACTGTGGTTGAAATTGAAAGAACTCATCTGGAAAACAGCAGAGTGAATGTGCCCTGAACTCTGCAAGGCACAGGTACCATTTCCATGCTGGATGTGATGGAAGATGGGGATAGCAGGTCTGTCTGCAAACACATCTGCTGTGTTCAGAAGTGCATCCTTCACTGCCTCGTAGCCGCTCAGCACCACCGCCTGCTGCATCCCCAGGTGGACAGTGAACACTGGCCCATATTTCTCTGAAATCTGCAAGGAGAGGAAAAACCAGTGGTCAGCGGTAGCACTACGTCCTGTTCTGCTGTTTAGGTCATTGAAGTTGGAGAAGACCCCTAAGATCACCAAGCACAACCCCAACCCATCCCCACCACGATACCAAACCACATCCCTCAGTGCCACATCTCTGTGGTTCTGGAACACCTCCACGCTGGTGGCCCCACCATTCCCTGGGCAGCAGTGCCAGTGCTGCACCATTCCTTTTGGAGAAAATTTTCCTCCTATCCAACCTGTCCCTCCCCTGGTGCAGCTTGAGGCCACGTGGAGCCAGGAGTTGCACTTGGTGATCCTTGTGGGTCTCTTCAAACTCAGGACACCCTACCCTACCCATGTTTTTCCAAGTCCAAGCCATTCATGGTTTTTAATTATTTCCCCTACATCTTTTCTTCAGGCTGTGCTACATTAACTCCCATCTAGAAAAAAAACAGCATAATGAGCAAGACATACAAGCTATTTTGGCAACTACAACTAAGCATCTCCCTTTCAATTTGGCCACGTGGACACTCAAATATTTTAGAGTATTTCACAACATAAAGACACCAAAGTTTAGGTTCACCCACCCAAACTGATGCAGATACTCACAGTCTTCATTGTGTGGGCAGCTCTCACATACTGACAGCCCACCAAACTCTGCAGAGTTGGAATTGCACTGTTTCCTTCCAGAAAGCTTTACATTTAGTTTATTAAATCACGTTTAAAAACCCCAGCATTTGGCACTGAGCGGTTATCTCAGAACTGCCATTGGAGGGAGAACTGCAGCCATTCCTTCCCCAGGGCCCCAGGCAGCACGGATGCTTGCTCCTACCTTCATCAGAGACCTGTCCTGCCTCCTGATGTCCAGCAGGTGCAGGTTGCCGATGATGGGGAGAGGAAACGGACCAGGAGGCAAATTTAAAGCTGATTGTTTAAAACCTTTTACAACACAGAGGAGTGCAGCGATGAAAAGCGCAGCGCAGAGCCCACAGCTGAGCAGGGGCAGCAGGGCAGCCATGCTGGAGGAGTCTGTCCTTCTGCACTCTGCTGAGTTGTTGATTAGGACACTCACATTGTATTTATTGAGAGTATTTGATGCCAGGGCTGCCGCTGGGCTTTGCACAATCCTTCCCTCCACGCCCATACCTCACAAAATTGGGAATTTTTGTCTGCAAAAGGCAAAGTCCGAACACAGTGCGGGGAGGTGAGGGTTCTGGAGCTGACTGGGTTCACTGCAATTCTTCTGCCTGCAATAATTTGTCCAGAACCTGACAGACCCACACCTGTTTCACAATTAGGCAGCAATCATGAAATCTCTCTTTATATTCTCTCTCTCCATCTCTTTCATCGTCTCATCCAACCTCATCTCTGGTCACCAGCAGCTCTTCACTGTCCACTTTCGATAGCTTACAAATGTCAATCCCAAATAATCCTTCACAGCCAGCACCCACCCCACAGCACAGCACAGCACAGGTGCAGCAGGTCCTGCAGTGCACTGATTTGCTCCAGGGGATGCATGAAGCTGCACACAGCCCCTTCCAGCTGCTTCCCCCTCCAGCGAAGCATTTTCTCCCAGTGAAGAAAAACAGAACCAGACAATCTGCAAAAGATTCGGGATGCACTTGTTACCTCCCTCTGCAGATGTGGAGCTCTGTTCCTTATCTCTTCCTATTTAGTGAATCTGGGCTGTCCTAAAGCTCTACCTACAGACGCCTCCTTCCCTTGGCAGCCTTGCAGCACACCTTGTGCCGTCACATCACACCCATTGAGCACACAGCCACATGCAGCTCCTCTGCTCTGCTTCGGGCTTCCAGTCCCTTTCCCAGCCTCACTCAGGGAATTTAGGGCTGGGGGCTGCCCAGCACCACCAGGTCCATCCCTATGCAGGGACCCCCCAGTTGCAAGGGATTGCAGAGACAGGCAGTGTTCCTTGCTGCTGGAGCAGACGCTGGTGAAAAATGAATTCAGCACTGCAAACCACAAAGCTGTGGTTCAATTCCATGCGTCCTGCTTTTATGAACGGGGTGCACTTCTTCCTGCGGCTGTGCAGTGTCACCTGGTGCCACTTCCCCTCTTTCCACACCAAAAGGGACACAAGACCTGTGTGTCTTGCAGAGCTGCTGCGTGGCTGTGCGCCAGGCCTGCTGCTCCCACTGACTGCAGTGAGAGCTGCCAGACAGAGGAGACCAAGCACGGCTCCCACCCCGCAGTGCTCCCTCCCAAACCCGCCCTCATTACACACAACAACGTTTTCCTGCGGTGAGAGCAGGAGACCGGGAGTCTGGAGAAGAGCTGCGTGTCCCCACGGGGACAACGGCTGTCTGTGCAGCTCTGGGCAGAGCACTGGGGGCAGAGGGCTGTGCTGTGAGGGCTGTGCTGTGCTGCAGCTCCCCTGGGGCTGACCCAGCATTGCTACCATCACTGCTGGAAGGTCTTGGGGCTCCGTGGTGTAGGAACTGCACCTCCTCACACTGTGGCACAGAACCACGTGGAGCCCAGCACTGGTCCCAGCCCAGCAGAGGAAGGGGGGTTACTCATTACCTCGTAGGTGAAGCAAGCCATAGAGGGGGCAGAGCTGGGCACTGATAACAGCATCTTGGATGGAATGCAAAAACACATTCCCATGAGATTTAGGTTAAAAATTAAAATGAAAATTAATCTTTATCTAGGAGTAAACGAACCTTTTGAAAAGTCAAATTCCCCGGGTCAAGCAGGGTCATCCAGCACAGGAGAATCACAGGAAGAGAAGCCCTTACCCTGAGTGCCAACCACCCACGGGTCTGGAGCTGGGAAAGGAAGTCATTACCCTGGTGTTTGCAAAGCATTTGGAGGCTGAGCCCTTCCCAATTAGCTGCTGTCTGACACAGAGGACAGAGCCAGCAGCTGAGCTCTCCTGCCTCAGCCCTGGGGCCAGTGAGGGGCAGTGGGGCACAACGGCCCATTTTGGGGGTGTCACACTGTAACTGCACAGCAAGGGGTAGGGGAACAGCTCACTGCTTGAGCCCTGAGCAGTAACAATAGCACAGATCCTCTCTGGGCACCCTGTGCCATTGTCTCACTGCCTGTATCATAAAAAACTTTTTCCTCATACCCAATCTAAATCTGCCTTCTTTCTGTTTGAGACTGTTCACCCTTTGTCCTATGGCACAGAACCACTACAGAGCACATCCCCTTCCCTCCTGCAGCCCTTTCTGCACCATACACAAACATGAGATACAAAGACATGTGGAAGTGACACCAGCAGAACGCAGCCCTGACCACGGCCCTGCGAGCATGGAGGCAACCAGCTGCCCTTCCTTTAAAGAGAGATTGCCCCCAAACTGCTTCTCTAAGAGCCTTTAACATGGACTCTATTTGGACGATTCAGTGCTGCGTTTCCAAACGCTGTTCCTCCCGTGAAGTTGCTCTGACTTTTGGTTGGGTGGCATCCACACGCCGCTTTTACTTTTTGATCCTGTTGCTTGTTTACGACATAGAGGAGCAATGTGGGAACAGAACTAAAGCGAGCACAAACCCAAAGGCACGAGACCATCGATGGCACTGCCCGCCCCTCGGCCCCGTTCTGCTGCACATCTCATTTGTGTCTGACTCACCACCACCCACAAACGCAATACCTACTAGTTAAAATGCCAGCCTGCTCCCAAGCTGCCAACCCCGAGCCTGTGGCATGCAGTGAGAGGGAACATTTTGGGGAACACAAAGGTCTATTGATGGCTATCACCACCGCATCCCTTCGGGCTTCCTTAAACACAGCGATGGCAGCGCTCCGAGCAGCAGCCTGCCCTACTGAGCGCTGCTGTGTCAGCACGGACACGAGGGCCTGCACTGCTGGGTGCTGCGTGTCACCTCACTGCAAGCAGCCCCGACTCAAAGGGACAACCTGTGAGCAGGGCGGGTTTGCAAAAGGAAACGTTCGTTTCTCTGTATTTGCATTTGCATTACTAATACAGTCTGGCAGCCAGGTTCAGGGAGTGGAAACCAGGAGTGTGGTTTCTATTCCCAGCCCAGCCGCTGACTGCTTGCTGCTGCTGGCAAATCTTTTAATCTCCTTCCCTCTGCTTTTCCCTCCCACAGTAAGGGCTGGGTGGCCCCCAGGGACCCCCTGATGGAACACGGCAAGGACAGCGTGCCAGCATCACTCTGCGGGGCAAAGCCAGGCGCTCCCATGCAGTTCCACTGCGCAGTGATCCCTTCCACAGAATCACAGAGTGGGTTGGAAGGGACCTCAAGGATCATGAACCTCCAACCCTCCTGCCACATGCACGTGCCCTGACACCACCAGCACTGATGTATCCATACATCACAGCAAGCCAGGCCCTCAGGGCACACAGAAAACTGCATCCACAGCATCACCGCCTGGCACCTGCTCTGCACCCTGGACAGATGTGCCACTTCTCTCCAGCACCACAGGAGGATCCCAGCCCACTGTCCCAGCACCAGAGCTCCCTTTGCTCCTCTGGTTGGCACCACACTGGGAGGTTTTGGGGAGGGTGTGGGGATCCTGGTGCTGAGCAGGTGCAACACAACGGCTACAGGTGAGCACACGCATCCTCCTGGTCATCCCTTCCAATGTTAAAACGATTGCTTAAACACTCTGTGCTGTGTCATGTTGTGTGACAGCCCAGCTGCTCACTTCTGGCACAGCCTCTGGGACCCCACCGAAATAACACACATATGCTTTTGGGGCAGAGGCCAGCATTTATCTTAAGAGGTGGTTTAGGATCAAAACAATCACCACTAATTCTTCCCGTTCACTACTCGGGATTACTGGACCACAAGTGACCTTTCAGATTCTTAAGATGTGGATTACGAGGGGCTTTATGAACTAATCCTAATGACTTGAGCTACGGCCCGAGCACCCTGACAACCTCTGAGCAGGTCTGCAGGCACAGTGCTTCCCTCTGCCCACAGAGGGCAGATTTTGAACCCATTTCAAAAGAATGTCACATTGGTGCCCCTTATAACGATCCAGTTGAGTTGCAAGGAAGATAAGGTGACCTGGGTAAAGGTCATTGCTGAGTGAATGGCAGGACTGTCGGGACGAGCCAGCCGAGACATCTGCTTGCCTTCTGCTGAGACCACTGCTTTATCACTTTCAAATACTACCGAAAGACCCTGAAATGTTACAGCACATTTTAACCTACAGAGCTCCAGCAGCACAGTGTGGTCTTTGATATTTTCAGATTTCTACAGCAAAGTGTTCCGCAGTACCGACAACAGCTTTCCCATCACTGGCTGAACTGGGCACACTTTTCATCTCTCTAAAAAACATCCCAAAACCAAACTCAAGCACTGGCAATGCATAGGGCTGCCAACACCGGGGCATGCACGCTGCAGCTCCCATCCGCCAGCACTGCAGCCCCATTTCCCATGCCCTCTGATGCCTGCAAGGCTGAGCAGCAGCTGTAGAGCAGGCAGAAGCGACCAACAGACTTCTATGAGGTGTGAAGGACCCTCACCCCGCAGTGATGCACACAGGGTCAGCTGGGAGATGTCTTCTGTTGGCAGGAGGGGAGCACCAGCAGCAGCCGAAGGGACTGCGTCTGTCACAGCCCCTCCATTCCTCTCTCAGAGAAGTGACCATCTATGGCACTTGTGATGGGGACAGCATCAACCCACACTCACCTGCTGTGTTTTCATCTTCTGCTGGCACTGAAAATACCACCCAAAAAGGACTGAGGCCGCCTGTCTGCTCCTCATTAACTGCGTAATTCAACACAAGTCCATATTTTCTTATTGAACAACGCCAAAGATGTACTCACGATCTCTCTGTGGTTCATTTTTTTTCCCCTTCCTTTGTCTAAAGACAGCTGAAATAATATAAAAAGGGATTCAGAAAACAAAAGGGAAACCCCTGGGTTTTTTTAAATATTTTCTAAGCCTGAACCAATTTCTGGAAGCAATTGGCAAGCTGGCTGCCACTTTCCTTCCAAGCACAGCATCCTGCAGCCTGGGCTGTGCAAAAGAAGATTTGATACAACAACCATTGGTGTGCAGCCACACAGAGCTGTCAGGCCACGCTGGCCATGCTCACACTCTGGGGTTGCTCGTGCTCCAGTGTCACCATCAGCACAGATCTGTGAAATCCATGAAGTCTATTGGCACACACCTATGCTGGCGGTACCTACGCGACCATGGCTGCAGCTCAAGCTTTCAGCACACCCCAAGAGCTTGTAAACCAGTTGTTTGGTCAAGTTAAGCCCACAGAAAGCAGACAAATAAGATGGCTGTGAGTCTCAACAGACCGGAACCGGGCAGCAAGGCAAGGCAGGCGCCAGGCTGTGTGCCCACACACTGCAGCCTCACATCACAAAGCAGATACGTGCTGCCCTTTGCTTGGCTGCATCAGATTTGGGCAATTTCATGGGGCTTAGGGGAGCCCGGCTGGTACAAAGGATGCTGCTAAAGGCTGCTGTACCTCAAGAAGAGCACAGGGAAATGTGGCCTTTCAACAGTCTTCTCTGGGCCCAATGGAGCTCCACAGCCAATGAGGATTTTGGCAGGGCTGCAGCCAGCCTGGCTATTTATAAGCAAATGAGAGGGACAGATTCTGTGTCCCAAGGCTTACAGTTCTCTAAAATACAATGAAACCATAAAGAAAAACAGATGTCAGTTGTGACAGCAAAAGGCTGTGTACTATTTAAATTATCAAGAAACCTTAAAAACAATCAAAATAATTAAAACTGATAGGAAATTGGGTGGGAAGGGGAGCAAAATTCAACGCAGTGCTCATATATTTGAGGGGTTTTGTGTGTTTGTTTCTAACACAATTCCCCTTAATTCAGCCTCCAGGTTGGAAGCACAGAGAGGTAGGACCAGAATTCTTCTGGCCATGTATATACATGTGGCATTTCCTGACCTTTCAGTATTTGATTCTGAAACCTATTTAGATTTTTGACGTAGGTGTGTTTGTGGGTTTTACTGGGGAATGCCAACAATTTTCTGCATGTAGGAAAAAAGAGAAATCATTAAGAGCAACTGCATGAGTGCTCTGTGTTTATCCCAAGGTCCCTCCCTCCGTGTCCCAGCCAAACTTTCCTCACAGCACAAGCTTCTTATTCAGCTTTGTTTGGACAAAGAAAGATAAACCACTGTTTTGCATTGCCCTCCCCCCGTCATTTATACATCAGCTGTATTTAGTATGGTATTCCCACTCCTCGTAGGAAAAAGAGAAAACATCATTTGAGAAATAATTATTTTTGACCACACTGAGTTGTTGACTGTGTAAGTTGTTATGAAGAAGTTAAAATAGAACGTAATTATAAATCATTGCTAAGCATCCTGCAAAGGCAAGGACATTTAATTGTGTCCTTGTATGACTGCAGTGGCTGTACACAACTAATACTCCTATTTGCAGGCACAGAAATAACTGGCTCCCTCAGCCATACAGAAAGGAAGACATAAAAGGAAACCAAAGCCCCAACGAGAATAAACCACTGGAAAGTTTTATGTCAACAAAGCTGAGTTTAAATTAAGTAACATCAATTCAGTATTTTGACTGTAAATGAATCAGAACATTAAAGCATGTTTTGAAGGGAATGCTTGTGATGAAACTTCTGTGACTGGATCCTGCACTAAGTGAAACTAACAGGAAAGTTCCTACTTGGTTTCTTCTGCGTAGCATCAAACCCACATGGCAGAGTTACATTCCCAGCTTTAATGCTCATTCTGAAAATGAGAACAGCAGCAGAACTGGTAGGAAAACACCAAATAAATGACTTACCAGTTACAGCACAGTGGCAAATACAGCACCGAGCCATCATGTTGCATATGAGTGATGGACTAAAATTAAAATTCTATAAAGATTTTCCATTCTTATGTTTACTAACTTTCCGAGTGCTGCCTTTGCAACTGAAGTCCCTTTTAGTATTGCTTTTTCTGCTCTGACTCAGTGGCAAAAGTCAAAAACAAAACAAGCAGAGGAAATCCAACCAACCAAAGCCCACCGAGCCCAAACTGAAGTGCATTTCTGTACTGCCCAAAGGGATAGGAGACAAGTCAAGAGTCACCTTGCTTTAAGTGAACCAAAACACAGCAGAACTATTCTCCAGTAGGAGGAAATAAGGAAATAAATGACATGCTCAAACAGCCACAATATATCCCTTCCGAATAAGAAGAGAGAATTCATTTACTCAGTAATTTTACAATGATGATAACAAATTAAAAGTGGGCAGACAGTGGAGAGCCAAGAAGATATACAACCCACAGCCAGGATCAGTCAAATTAAAGGGAACTTTTCACGTCGTCAGATGCTGAGTAATTAGTGCTGTCATTAGAGGCACAATTCCAGCTTTAAGCAGTTTTGAGTAATTAATGTTCCTTTATTTTGCCTAGAAGCCCTGACTTCAGCATTCTCTTCAGACGGGATCCTTATAGCTGGAGCTCCACAATGCAGATTAGCCCAACAAGAAGACAACCAGAGCAGGCAGATGAAGATGCAATTTGTCAGGCTGTCCCTGCACACTGTTACTTCTCGCCTTGGACTCAATTTTTATTAACACAGCAGCCATGGCATGGAAACCCAGACACGATTTTGCCCTGTCTGCAGCCATAAGATGGTCTAGCCTACAAACAACATTAACTTCTGAAAACTCTACGTGACCAAAGGATGGAACAAAGTGAACAAAGTGATGGGCTGTGTCCGCCTGCACAGCTCTGAGCAGCTGCAGGAATTCCATAGCTGCAATTATCCACCTCATCATTTAAAATAATCATTTAAAATAATCATTTAAAATACTTCATGGAGGAAATTCTGATACATATAATCATCAAGCCATGTAAATTTCTAGATTAAAATCCTAAGATGAGCAGGAAGCAGAAGCGAGAACAACCCTTCTCTGACACCTAAAATGCAATTATGAAATCCCAACAAGACACTTAGAAAACTTCACCCCTTAGAAATTCATCTTCCCTTCTCACTAAGAGAAAAAAGCATTGGTTTCTGCTTGGGCTAACAACAGGTCGTCTTTGGTTGAAAACCTCATCTCCAAGAAGCCCAAATGTTATTTGTTACTAGGAACACACTTCATACTTCTAAGGACTTGTAATAACCTGTGACTGCGAAGGCTGTCAAATCCACTCAAATGATTCTTAATGAAAAATTAGGCCAGCATATCCATAGATTCTCCCCTCCTTCATCCATCCACATTAAAGCAGTAATTCCCAAAGACAGCCACTCTTCTAAAATACACATTTGATACAGTTGTTGGTAATATAGCATGAACAATATCTGCAGAAAGATTAAAGAATCAGGTCAAGAACACAGAATTGAATGTAAGTGTTATTAAATCATAAGCCAATACTACAACATCTGAGTGATTGATGTCTTTGGTTTTCACTTGAAAGCCTCATTTTTAGCACATTCATAGGAGATAAATGCCCCATGTCAACACAAATGAATGCAAATTTACTCTTTTGGACACCAATTACAGAGAAAAATGAAAATGCAATATTGGCAGGCAGCACTCAGAGTGTTGCTGTGCAGCACTTCTCATCACAGGGTGAGTTTGGGTACAATCAGATGATTTCACTACACATGGTCAAAAGATCTGAGCTGTTCCCATCTGCACATTATCCCAGTACCTAAACAATTGCTGCAAAGCATTAAAAACCTTTGAAATATACAAGGAAAACTAACAAAGCTGATGGTATCTCCAGATTACTGCGTGAAGTACTAATAAGCAACTGTGTTATACAACTTGTGCCTAACAGACTGAAAATGATCTTTCCCAAATCCAAATGACACACTTCTGAAGCTGAAAGTGACAGACTACAGCTGGCTGAGCAAGCACTGCACTGTATGCTAATGCTACAAGCTGCCATTGTAAAGGAGCCTCCAGGCTTTCTGTTGGCTGCTCTGCTCTTCTTGTTAAGAACTGCAAAGCTCCTCTTACTTAGCAGTAATTAGACAGAGAGTTGGAGAAGACTAACAAGAAAGAGAGGTGTATTTTTCCAAAGATACGCAGTGAGATTAGTTTTAATCAATGTAGCATGTCTATGGACCACATACAGTGCTCTGTTTTGACTTCATCACCTCAAAACATGATAAATATTTGTAGCTGAAAACACGAGTACAAATTCAGAAAATGCAGTATTCAGATTCATTATCAAAATATGTCTTTACAACGAATTTGAAGTATCTGCACGTGATATTCAATGCCTTTCCACCAGACAAGCACCACGACACAGAACCACTCTCAAGACAGCAGCTGCAGAACTTGGCGTATGCGCTCACACTTCTCCATCACGGTTGGGTCTTCTGCATCTGATCCATCCAATTCCTGCATAAGAGCTTCAGCTTTCTGCACAGTTGTGTCTCGTGCACTGCCCTTAAGGCCCTGCAGATAGTCCAGTAAAATGGTGAAATGCTCATCTGGAACCTGGAAAAAACAAAACACCAAGGAATTAAAAAATACCTGCTTGGTTTTCTTCTCTTTCAATGTTCATCCACAGTCATGTCAAAGCATTACCTGAAAGGTAGTTAGGTGGATTGCACAGCCTTTTGCATTTACTGATGCCCACCTTCAAATGGAAGAGTTTCTTGCCAATGTTCAAACTGCTGGGAAGGACAGACTGCAGTGAGAGAACTGCTGTGGGCTCAGATGGGCAAAGCATCTGAGGGGAAATGCTGAGCAGATGTGGAATTGATGATCAGCAAACGCAAACACTGCCTGAGAGAGAGATCCAGCTTGTGAGGGCTGCTGGAAGGGAAAAAACATCCTAGCCAGATCCTAGTTTTGGAAACATGTATGCAAACCTTACCAAATTCAGGAGAAC